GCGTCCGTCGTGATTATGCTTCCCACGTACTTGAAATGCTCCACATTCTCCATCTGTTTGTTTCCAATTAGAACGTTCAATGGTTCTGCTCTCGGTGCTATCCTCATTACCTTTGATTTTTCAATGTTGATTTCCATTCCATACTCTCTACCTGTTTCCACTAACTTGTCCATCATGTTCTGTAATTCCTCCTCTTCCTTCGCCAATACTACTAAGTCGTCTGCATACTTCACAGTCTTTATCACTCTTCCTCCAATTTTGAAGTCTCCTGTTCCCTCCAGAGCTTCCTTGGCAAGCCATTCCCCGTACAGGTTAAAAAGAATTGGTGATAAGCAGCATCCCTGTCTTACACCTCTACCTATCTCAACGCTGTCAACGCTGATATAATCATATAATGCTGTTTTTGTGTGTTTATTATTATTATTTTGAATGTATATATTTGGTTTCAGTACTTTACTCTACCTGAAGTTTCTAGTATTATGGGCCCTGGTGTTACTTGCTGATTTTATCCTGGAGTTTCGATTTGAATTCCTGTGGCCATTTTGGCTACTACTTCGAAGCGTGTACGATTCTTTCAAATATCAGGGCTTGGTGAGTATCTTGAAGAAGTGCTAGATCCTTTCACTGTTAGGGGGAAAAGAAACCCTCATTTAGCTGTATGTGTTTTTATTTACCTTGTCAGATATTTAATTATTTATTAATTTGGCATGGATTTTCTGGAAACAGGTATTGATATTACACTACTTTTACTATACATTTATGTGGCTCAAATTATTTTTATGTAACAGAGAAGGGATTAGCCAAGTTTGAAATGTAAATTAAAAAGTGTTATGGCATATATAAAATGTAGTACTTTCTTTGCAGGCCTTCTCAGTTTTCTTTATTTGCATCGCTCTCACATCAGATATGATCTGTTTTTTCTTCATCCCAGTCCAGTGGCTCTTCTTTGCAGCCAGCACGTATGTTTGGGTGCAGTATGTCTGGCACACAGGTAACATCTTATTATATTTACTGACTGTCCAAACTGACTCTGGAGCCCACCCAGTTTCTTATCCAGTGGGTACTGGGATCCTTTACCGGGGATAAAGCATGGCTGGGTCCTGATGCTGACCACTCACCCCATCTAGTGCTGTGGTTAAGAATGAGTAGGAGCTATACCTCCTCTCTCCCCCAAGCGCTTACGTGGCATATAGCAGGACAGCTTTACTTACTTTTTACTGATTCTGTTAATAGGTTTTGTAATAGAAAGTTGAATTGAAATGATTATTTAAAAGATTCTGTTTACATTTTTGTATTACATTATTATTTGGCAGATGGAAGGAAAAGAGCATTTTTAAGAATAAATTAGTTCATGAAACATCAGTTTTGGGTTTCCCAATGATAAGTACAAGGTAATTTAATGTGTTTGTTATGAAGCCTAAGATGAGGAGATGTGGTGATCTACCATTTTGGTACAGACTGAAGAAGTGTGAATATAATTTCCTAGCATGGAGAATGTTCCAGCAATAAAATTAAAAGTCAACTTTTTTTTTATCAGCATGCCTTAAAGATTTACTATAATCAGAAGAATCAGGGTTAAACTAGAAGTGAATTATGATATCATTTTATTATGAGATTGTAACTTTGAATGTGAGTACATATATATCTGGTCAGATCACACTTTCTTGTTTCCGACAGTTTGTTCTAAGACACATTGCATAACAGGTGTGTTTTTTGTGTTCTTCGTAGTTCTAAAGATTGTGATGTCCTGTCATCTTCTTGCTTCCAATTTAATCATTCCAGAGCCCATACATCTAGTATAAAACATAGTCTGATAATCTGTTTAGATTATATTTAGGACACCATCTTTATTTTCTTGAGAGGAGAACTAAGTATCCTTGTTACACATTGTTAATTATATAAAAACCTATTGATCTGGTAAAAACTGTTAATGCAAAAAGTCTATATTTCTTGTCCTAAGGCAAGAAAGAATCTGACTTTCAACCAAAGTCTTAGACAGTCTGTAGCTTCTCATTCATCTCTTTCTGAAATTTGCATTCACAGACTCTTTGACAAGTGATAAGTATTTTCAGTCACCCACTTTATTTATTCCATCCATGAATGTAGCCAAATCATTGCCTCCAGAATCCACGTGTTAGCTACAGGCAAGTGAATGTCTGCTGTGTCTTACAATTTGATTGCATATATCTTTTTCTTATTGATTCAGTCTTATTTTAAGTTTCCTCTCATTATTTTATAATACAACCCAGAAATGAGTTATTGTTTATATTAATTTATATTTTGTTTCAGAAAAAGGTGTTTGCCTTCCTACTATCATCCTGTGGTTACTGTTTGTATACATAGAAGCAGCAGTTAGATTACGTGACCTGCGGCATCTTCCATTTCATTTGGACTTGTGTAGGCCATTTGCAGCTCATTGGTCAGTATGGGGATTTATTAATGTTACATATTATTTTATGTGTAAAGTACTAGCATTTCAAAACAAAGCTTTAAACTCTGTTAGAACCCAGTAAAGGCGCCAAAGTGGGATATGGAGAATCTTTTATATGAGTAATTTTACCATCTATACCATACTCCTGTTGTTGAAGAAGTTAAAGTGGTTATAATTGACTGGATGTGTCTGTCAGGACTCGAAGTACAAAGTAGATATATTGTTTTTGTTTGCAAATGTCTTGGAAAGTAAACATTTGGAATACTGGGATGGAGATGGTAGGGTAACATTAAAATTGATCTTGGGAAAGCAGGTTGTAAGGATGTGAACTAACTGAATTGTGTTATTATCATGTCCAGTGTGTGCTTTCAACAGAGATGCTTTTTAATATTAAGACCTGTTATAAAAAAGAAAATAATTATTTTATTTTACTTTTCAGTATTGGCTATCCAGTAGTCACATTGGGCTTTGGATTTAAAAGTTATGTAGGGTACAGAATGCGTCAGGTATGTATTGTAACTTTATATTAATTACTTTTAATTTGAAACAAATTGTATGTGGAAGTGATTAGAAGCAACAGTAATTTACAGTTGAATATGTGTTTCCAGAGAAAGCAAAAAGATGTATCAAAAGAGAATGAATTTTATATGCAGCTTCTACAGCAAGCATTGCCATTAGAACAGCAGCAAACACAGCAGCCATTGCCTCAGCAACAGCAGCAACAGTCCTGTCAAAATACTAGTCCAGAAAAAAGTAGAGGTAAAACATTCATTTGTTACAATAGACAACTTTATGATTCACAGATTGGTAAAACAATATCAGGATTTCCAAGAATCATTATTGTTTCATATTGTACTGTTAAAATTTGTTATGAGCTCATCTAAATATGTATTTACAGTATAAAGATTAATGATTTTATGTGGTATTAACTCTAAAAGAGACATCATAATCACCGATATTGAACATTGGCAATTAAAATTTATGAACCAGAGCATATGAAAAGAACTGCATGATTAGAAATCTCTTAAATTGTCGTGTTGGTGTATAACAGAAGGACAGTTGATTATATTTGACTTTTGTAAATTGTATTACACAGGATGGGCCAGTATAAACTGTCCAGAAATATGATATCACCTCTGAGTGCACGTATGCATGACACATACTTTGGTTCAAGTCAGAGTTGTTGTATTCTTGTGCTCCTTGTTGAGCGAAGTAGTACGAAATATGCAGTGAATGTATCTCAAAGCCTTATTTGTTGTGGGACAGTTTTTGTTTGCGTGGAAAAAGCCAGCTTGGGACACCAAATTTTAAAGTTGTTTGAGAAATATATGAACTTATGTTCATAAAATGACTACCAGCAAAGTGTAAAAGTTTTAATTATGTCATGCTAGTGGAATTTGTTTGAGAACACAACAATCTTGACAAGGCAGTGTTATGATGTATACAAGGAGGGCAGCCATTGATATACTGCAGGTTATTCAAGGGTCCCTAATTTCTAAAGGAAACAAATCCTTCTGTCCTTCAGACTTGGGAAATTAAACTTTAGATACATGTGGAAACTTGTAAAGAGAGCAATTTTATGATCCCATACCTAGAAATATACAGAAACTATGGGAAACAACACACATTTCTTGCACCTCATACCATACACATACTCTAAAGGATATTTGAAAATCTTCACTAACTTTATGACTTTATTTTAATAGCTCTTGCCTTAAGCATATCCTGTGAGGTCATTTCATAGTGTAAGATTGATTATTGAGGTAATAAAGAGTTCAGATGAATATCATCTATCATAATCATGGGGGAATATGTCTTAATTATATACTTCATAATTTACTCAGAAGTTTAATAGAAAATTATGATGAAACTAGGCAAACATTTGATTTCCCATTAGCTGGAAGGATGCTCTATATTTCACTGTAACTTTTACTTGGTCATATTGCTTAATACTAACTGGAATGTGCAGACTGGCTGATCTGTAGTTTACATTGTTATGTCCTTAATGGATTATGATGTTCAAATTCTGTTAATAATGCCATGTCTAGCATGCAGATCTCTTCCTGTATTTACAATTTGAGACCACAACATATGAAACAGTTTAAATTTGGAAACTATACATTGATGTTAATTATATGACATAAAAAAATGGAAACATAGAAATACTGGATCTGCTTGTCAAAGTGTATCACAATTATACCTTTTCCCCCAGCCCCAGAAAGAAAGACTAAAACAGTTTTGTTATATATGAGTAAGGAAATGAATGAGGTCCATGTAGGTAATGTTGCAGATGTATTATGTACTTATGGTGAGTTCATGTTAAGAGTGTAGTTGAAATGCTTTCAGTTTAAATCACCTTTATGAATATAGTTTTACTTATTTATTGGATCACACTGTACAGTGCATTATTGATTACCCATTTGAGTATCATCTCTGTACAGTTTCGTGATTTAGTCTTTATTACTTCAAATTTAATGACAGCCTTTAAAATTGATCCTTCTCAAATTCACATGTACTTTGAACCAACCCTCTCATTGTGTTGGTTCTGACTTATATATATTTTCTATTATTTGTGCTTCTTTTCTTCTCCATTAACCTATGTAATCAAGAGTTTAGTGCATTTAAAATGTAGTAAAACCAAGTTTTCTGTAAAGTGATGTGTGTGTTCTGATAAGAAAATATTTTTTTACTAGGTGTGTCTTCTGTAGAAGTAGGAATCTCAAATGGAGTTGTGCACAACACAGCTCCAGTACCTCAGACCTCCACCACAAAAAATAATCACAGAAAATCCCTGGACAAGGGGGAACGAGACAAATGTGTGGAGGCTGAAGTTAAATCTTCATCTGAGAAACCTGTCAAATACTCACATACCAATGGCACCATTCACACAGAACTTGAGTTCATCGAGAGGGTGGGGTACGTAAAGTATGTGAACTTGTTGCCTTTATCCAGGTTTGTACAGTACATGTTCCTATCAGAGTAAGAAACAATGAAGACAGATTTGTTCACTTCACGTTGTTAGTAACTATGCCTGTTATTTGATCATAACTCAATAAGATGATGTTTAATACAGTTTTGTTTACTCCTTTTACATAGTTTAGTTTGTCCCGCTACATGCCGTAAAGGTGCTTGGGGTGAGTGGAGGTATAGCTCCTCTCTTTCTTGACCTCGGCACTAGATGGGGGTGAGTGGTCGGCATCACGCCTCGGCTGGTTTTACCCCCGGAAAAGG